TCACTGGATAACTTAACAACAAGTATTCTGATACACAAATTCATCTACACCGAATAACATTATATAAAGTAATCTATTACAGTTAATAAACTTACAAATCGGCAAACTTTCCGATTTGTTATCACAAAAAACAAAATACAAACCAAATAACATATCTTCAAGTTATCCGATAAACAAAAAAAATACATCATATGACATTTATCCTGTAAACATTTGTGGGAGTGTAAACTCATTCAAATCTATCGTATAAGAAAATTCATTGTTCTTTCAAAGTAAAAAATGTCATTCTTTCTCCACAATGTGCCACGTGGCTATGCAAGCATCCAACACTTTGTTTATTTAATTCATTCCATTTCTTCTTCTAACCTTTTACAATAGTTTCATTATTTTCTTCTTCCATCTTCTCTATTTCTCTCTCTTGCAAATTGCTTTCAAATCTAAAACGTTTTCATGTAACACACGATCATTTCTCTATTTCTTCTTTCTTCTTCCTCTTTTTCTTCTTCATTTTACCTTTTCTTCTTCTTCCTTTTTCCTCAATTTCTTATTGAAACCAAATCAAAACAAGCGATAATATGCCCTATCAATTTATGATTTCAAAAACAAATCCATATTTGCTATCAATAATATCTTATTCTACTTCTTCCTTCTTCCTCTTTTTCTTTGTGTTTTAGATTCTTATTCGTAACGGTTATTGCTGACGATGTTTTGTTTTGTGATTTAGGTTTAGGTTTTTTGTGTTTTAATTTAGTATATTTGCTTTTAAGTTAAGATTTAGAGTTTGCTACTGATTTTCGTAGTTATAAATGCTTACAAGAATTGTGTTGAGGATGACGCAACATTTTTCAGCGACGGTGAAGGTGCTTATCTAAAGGGGTTTCACGTTTCTGGAAGACATGTGATTTTGGCAATGTGAAAGGCATGTATTGATTTGTTGTGCACGATAAGGAAATGTCTAGTTTCTGATAACATAAACTTATGCAAAAAGTGAAACAATGAAATAACTTTGTTATAAATAAAAAAATCAGAACTGTTACGAAAATAGGAGATACAACGGAGAGATACAACTTTGTTTAGTTTCTTCTTCTCCAAAGGAATCAAAATCACGGATCAAATTGAAATCAAGAAGGATAACGAGGTACCAATCAAAATAGGGGATACGACAACAAATCTAACGTTTTCGGTGATTTTACGGCGGTGTGCGGTTTCGTGGTGGTAGATCTGTCGTAAAGCTCTAAAATTTCTGCACATATTTTGTGTATATATTAATTGGTATTTTATATGTACATATTTTAGGGTTTCTTCTACATATGTATATGTGCATAAGAGGTTTGCTAATTTTATTACTAAAATTAATTTTTAATGCAGTGGCTGAAAAGAGAAAGATATCAACCTTGATATTTGCAAAAGTTTTGGTATGATTACTATTTCCAATAACTATTATTATAAGAAATTACCTTTAATTTAAATGATTAATTTTTGGTTGAAATTGCAACTAGTTTAAGTGTCAATTAGCTTTAAGTTGAAATTAGCTTTAAGTGTCAATTTGCTCTTGCTACCATATTATAAACTCTTTTGTTTATATGATATAACACTATATTATAAACTATTTTGCCTATTTTGTACAACTAAAATTGGTAGAATTTTTTTCTTATTTTAGTGATAACATATTGACATGACTAAACAATATAAGAACATTTTTAGAGTTTGAGAACAAAATTCAATAGTGAACTCGCAATTGATGTTGCAATTGAAAACTAATTAATTTGGAAATGTTTAATGTAGAAATCTTGTGTCAGATATATCGAATTCCTTTTCAACTGGTGTTCAGATTGATTTCAAATTTTAGAACTCGATTTCTATGGATTTGCTTGTTGGTTATCATTTTTGTGTTCATATTCATTGTTTATGGGGCGTCTTGACATCGGTTGTGGTTCACATACTAATATATCTGGTGCAAATACAGAACATGGATCACCCCCTCTAAATCTTGAAATCCCCCTCCTGACTTATAGGGAAGAGGTATATCTTTGAACTCCGCTTTTGATGTGTCTGATTTACACTAAATTACTGCATTACTTAATGTCGACAACAAAATTGATCCCTCATATGATATTGTTTGCATAATTATTTTATAGGATCCTGAGATATCTTTCGATAGACATACTCTAATTGTTCCACCATATATGAATCATGGAAACCAAGTCCTTCTCATGCCTTTTACGAATCATCTATTCCATGTTAGTATTGTATAATTTTGTTTAGATTGTATTTTGATACGTTTTGTATCATTTTATATATTGGTTCATCCTTGTTCAACTTTTTCCATAGTACAACCAAGACATATGGTTCCCAAGAAAGATAAGTTTATAAACACTTATCAAAACTATATTTAATTAGGCTCTGGATATAACTTAAGAAGTATGAGAAATTGGATTGTCAAGAATGCTTTTGTTTTTGTTTGAATGTTGCATTTTTTCTATGACTAAGTTACGCCTTATAACTAAAAATCTTGTCTCCTGCTTGATTGGGGATGAAACATTTGTGATAGCAATTCTCATGGCTATGTGTGATTCTAATTCAATTGTTTTTCCCGGTCCGTAAATTATAAATGGAAGCTTTCATCTATCCGCCAGTTACTAAACTGATTGAAACAAAGTTATGTTGCAGTATGATTACAGTGACCGTAATACAAGTTGTTTTTGTATGTGCGCATATTTTATTACATATCCTATTGATTAACAATCACTCTTTATTAATCTATATTTCGGTTCAAAACTGTGTTGTTAAGTTACATACTCATAATAAATCCTTCGAAATGTTTTTGATAGAGACTTAGATGAAGAAGTTGGGCTTGACTTTGGGCATAAGCCAAAAGTGTGGAGGGTTTATACTAGAAGACGTGACAAAGGAATAAAGGAATAGATTGTAGGAGTTTGTTACGATAAAATAGGGAAGAGAGAGAGAGAGAATAATTATAGGAGTTGTTACTATAATTAATCCTATAATTAATGAGTTTGTTACTATAAAATAGGGAAGGAAGAGAGAGAATAATTAGCTAAGTTTATGACTATAAAATAGAGAGGAAATAAGGTATCTAGGTATTCTATTTTTTGATTTGAGAATCACCGTCTTGGTGAGGGAAGCACTGCATGCTTAGGGGCTGATAGATATTCTCTATCAGTTTGTTATTTTCATCACCGTTACTTCTTTGTAATTGTTCGTCCGTAATAATACAATTACAACATTCTTTTACTATTCTATTCATATATTCATTGTTCACTCATATATTCATATAATAACCCATCAATTGGTCCGACCTGCCGGATTAGAAACGCACCCGTGACGGAGATTGTTCATGACAAGGATGGGTGACAGAATTGAAGCTTTGGAAACACAGATGGAGAGTGTGACAACAACGTTGCAAGGGCTGGCTCTACAAATGCAACATCACGCTAAGCAGATGCAACAACAAAGCTTGATTTTAACTGAATTGAGCAAGCAAATAGGTCAGAAGGGAGTGACTTAGTAGGATGACACCTCTGTTGGTCATTCATCACAGAGCGTGTCTCGCCTTGCCGGGAAGAAGGTGAAGCTTCCGGTGTTTGAAGGTGAGGACCCTGTTGCATGGATTACGCGCGCGGAGATTTACTTTGATGTGCAAAACACGCCGGATGAGATGCGTGTGAAGATGTCCCGTTTGAGCATGGAGGGTTCAACAATACATTGGTTTAACTTGTTGCTGGAAACAGAGGATGACCTCTCTTGGGAAAAACTGAAGAAGGCCTTAATTGCGCGCTATGGCGGGTGACGCTTAGAAAACCCGTTTGAAGAATTGTCCACGCTACGTCAAACCGGAAACGTGGAGGAGTTTGTGGAAGCTTTTGAGCTTCTATCGTCACAAGTGGGTCGATTACCAGAGGCTTTGAATTTGAATCAGCTTAAGAGTCATTTGTTGCGTGCTCAACAACAAATGAAGATGCAGATACAAAGAGAAGAGATGTACAATTTGATGTCGGTGAATGGGTGTTTTTGAAGCATAGACCTCACGGACATCAGTCAGTGATCAAGAGGATTAATCAAAAGCTAGCTGCTCGTTATTATGGTCCTTTCAAAATTGTGGACAAGGTGGGAGTTGTAGCATACAAGTCGCAATTACCCGACACTTCTAGAATTCATCCAGTTTTTCATGTTTCATTGCTAAAAAAGGCTACAGGTGAATATCAGGCTCAAGGGGCACTACCTACAGAATTAGAGGTCGCACTTGATGATGACTTTTATCCAGAAAAGGTGTTAGGCTCTAGAATTAATATGCTGAGAGGTGTTTCTATTCCTCAAAGTTTAATTCAGTGGAAGAACAAACATGTTGATGATGTCACATGGGAAGACAATACTTATCTTAAGGGGCGGTTTCCAAATTTTAGCCTTGAGGACAAGGCTGTTGTGAAGGACCGAGGTGTTGATAGAGATTTAGATGAAGAAGTTGGGCTTGACTTTGGGCATAAGCCAAAAGTGTGGAGGGTTTATACTAGAAGACATGACAAAGGAATAAAGAAATAGATTGTAGGAGTTTGTTACGATAAAATAGGGAAGAGAGAGAGAGAATAATTATAGGAGTTGTTACTATAATTAATCCTATAATTAATGAGTTTGTTACTATAAAATAGGGAAGGAAGAGAGAGAATAATTAGCTAAGTTTATGACTATAAAATAGATAGGAAATAAGGTATCTAGGTATTCTATTTTTTGATTTTAGAATCACCGTCTTGGTGAGGGAAGCACTGCGTGCTTAGGGGCTGATAGATATTCTCTATCAGTTTGTTATTTTCATCACCGTTACTTCTTTGTAATTGTTCGTCCTTAATAATACAATTACAACATTCTTTTATTATTCTATTCATATATTCATTGTTCACTCATATATTCATATAAGAACCCATCAATTGGTCCGACCTGCCGGATTCGAAACGCACCCGTGACGGAGATTGTTCATGACAAGGATGGGTGACAGAATTGAAGCTTTGGAAACACAAATGGAGAGTGTGACAACAACGTTGCAAGGGCTGGCTCTACAAATGCAACATCACGCTAAGCAGATGCAACAACAAAGCTTGATTTTAACTGAATTGAGCAAGCAAATAGGTCAGAAGGGAGTGACTCAGTAGGATGACACCTCTGTTGGTCATTCATCACAGAGCGTGTCTCGCCTTGCTGGGAAGAAGGTGAAGCTTCCGGTGTTTGAAGGTGAGGACCCTGTTACGTGGATTACGCACGTGGAGATTTACTTTGATGTGCAAAACACACCGGATGAGATGCGTGTGAAGCTGTCCCGTTTGAGCATGGAGGGTTCAACAATACATTGGTTTAACTTGTTACTAGAAACAGAGGATGACCTTTCTTGGTAAAAAATGAAGAAGGCCTTAATTGCGCGCTATGGCGGGCGACGCTTAGAAAACCCGTTTGAAGCATTGTCCACGCTACGTCAAACCGGAAACGTGGAGGAGTTTGTGGAAGCTTTTGAGCTTCTATCGTCACAAGTGGGTCAATTACCAGAGGCTTTGAATTTGAATCAGCTTAAGAGTCATTTGTTGCGTGCTCAACAACAAATGAAGAAGTATGCAGATACAAAGAGAAGAGATGTACAATTTGATGTCGGTGAATGGGTGTTTTTGAAGCTTAGACCTCACAGACATCAGTCAGTGATCAAGAGGATTAATCAAAAGCTAGCTGCTCGTTATTATGGTCCTTTCAAAATTATGGACAAGGTGGGAGTTGTAGCATACAAGTCGCAATTACCTGACACTTCTAGAATTCATCCAGTTTTTCATGTTTCATTGCTAAAGAAGGCTATAGGTGAATATCAGGCTCAAGGGGCACTACCTACAGAATTAGAGGTCGCACTTGATGATGACTTTTATCTAGAAAAGGTGTTAGGCGCTAGAATTAATGTGCTGAGAGGTGTTTCTATTCCTCAAAGTTTAATTCAGTGGAAGAACAAACATGTTGATGATGTCACATGGGAAGACAATGCTTATCTTAAGAGGCGGTTTCCAAATTTTAGCCTTGAGGACAAGGCTGTTGTGAAGGACCGAGGTGTTGTTAGAGACCTAGATGAAGAAGTTGGGCTTGACTTTGGGCATAAGCCAAAAGTGTGGAGGGTTTATACTAGAATACGTGACAAAGGAATAAAGGAATAGATTGTAGGAGTTTGTTACGATAAAATAGGGAAGAGAGAGAGAGAGAGAATAATTATAGGAGTTGTTACTATAATTAATCCTGTAATTAATGAGTTTGTTACTATAAAATAGAGAAGGAAGAGAGAGAATAATTAGCTAAGTTTATGACTATAAAATAGAGAGGAAATAAGGTATCTAGGTATTCTATTTTTTGATTTGAGAATCACCGTCTTGGTGAGGGAAGCACTGCATGCTTAGGGGCTGATAGATATTCTCTATCAGTTTGTTATTTTCATCACCATTACTTCTTTGTAATTGTTCGTCCGTAATAATACAATTACAACATTCTTTTACTATTCTATTCATATATTCATTATTCACTCATATATTCATATAAGAACCCCATCAATTGGTCCGACCTGCCAGATTCGAAACGCACCCGTGACGGAGATTGTTCATGACAAGGATGGGTGACAGAATTGAAGCTTTGGAAACACAGATGGAGAGTGTGACAACAACGTTGCAAGGGCTGGCTCTACAAATGCAACAGCACGCTAAGCAGATGCAACAATAAAGCTTGATTTTAACTGAATTGAGCAAGCAGATAGGTCAGAAGGGAGTGACTCAGGAGGATAACACCTCTGTTGGTCATTCATCACAGAGCGTGTCTCGCCTTGCCGGGAAGAAGGTAAAGCTTCCGGTGTTTGAAGGTGAGGACCCTGTTGCATGGATTACGCGCGCGGAGATTTACTTTGATGTGCAAAACACGCCGGATGAGATGCGTGTGAAGTTGTCCTGTTTGAGCATGGAGGGTTCAACAATACATTGGTTTAACTTGTTACTGAAAACAGAGGATGACCTCTCTTGGGAAAAACTGAAGAAGGCCTTAATTGCGCGCTATGGCGGGCGACGCTTAGAAAACTCGTTTGAAGAATTGTCCACGCTACGTCAAACCGGAAACGTGGAGGAGTTTGTGGAAGCTTTTGAGCTTCTATCGTCACAAGTGGGTCGATTACCAGAGGCTTTGAATTTGAATCAGCTTAAGAGTCATTTGTTGCGTGCTCAACAACAAATGAAGAAGTATGCAGATACAAAGAGAAGAGATGTACAATTTGATGTCGGTGAATGGGTGTTTTTGAAGCTTATACCTCACAGACATCAGTCAGTGATCAAGAGGATTAATCAAAAGCTAGATGCTCGTTATTATGGTCCTTTCAAAATTGTGGACAAGGTGGGAGCTGTAGCATACAAGTCGCAATTACCTGACACTTCTAGAATTCATCCAGTTTTTCATGTTTCATTGCTAAAAAAGGCTATAGGTGAATATCAGGCTCAAGGGGCACTACCTACAGAATTAGAGGTCGCACTTGATGATGACTTTTATCCAGAAAAGGTGTTAGGCTCTAGAATTAATGTGCTGAGAGGTGTTTCTATTCCTCAAAGTTTAATTCAGTGGAAGAACAAACATGTTGATGTGTCACATGGGAAGACAATGCTTATCTTAAGGGGCGGTTTCCAAATTTTAGCCTTGAGGTCAAGGTTGTTGTGAAGGACCGAGGAGTTGATAGAGACTTAGATGAAGAAGTTGGGCTTGACTTTGGGCATAAGCCAAAAGTGTGGAGGGTTTATACTAGAAGACGTGACAAAGGAATAAAGGAATAGATTGTAGGAGTTTGTTACGATAAAATAGGGAAGAGAGAGAGAGAGAGAATAATTATAGGAGTTGTTACTATAATTAATCCTATAATTAATGAGTTTGTTACTATAAAATAGGGAAGGAAGAGAGAGAATAATTAGCTAAGTTTATGACTATAAAATAGAGAGGAAATAAGGTATCTAGGTATTCTATTTTTTGATTTGAGAATCACCGTCTTGATGAGGGAAGCACTGCATGCTTAGGGGCTGATAGATATTCTCGATCAGTTTGTTATTTTCATCATCGTTACTTCTTTGTAATTGTTCGTCCGTAATAATACAATTACAACATTCTTTTACTATTCTATTCATATATTCATTGTTCACTCATATATTCATATAAGAACTCATCAATTGGTCCGACCTGCCAGATTCGAAATGCACCCGTGACGGAGATTGTTCATGACAAGGATGGGTGACAGAATTGAAGCTTTGGAAACACCGATGGAGAGTGTGACAACAACGTTGTAAGGGCTGGCTCTACAAATGCAACAGCACGCTAAGCAGATACAACAATAAAGCTTGATTTTAACTGAATTGAGAAAGCAGATAGGTCAGAAGGGAGTGACTTAGGAGGATGACACCTCTGTTGGTCATTCATCACAGAGCGTGTCTCGCCTTTCCGGGAAGAAGGTGAAGCTTTCGGTGTTTGAAGGTGAGGACCTTGTTGCATGGATTACGCGCGCGGAGATTTACTTTGATGTGCAAAACACGCCAGATGAGATGCGTGTGAAGCTGTCCCGTTTGAGCATGGAGGGTTCAACAATACATTGGTTTAACTTGTTACTGAAAACAGAGGATGACCTCTCTTGGGAAAAACTGAAGAAGGCCTTAATTGCGCGCTATGGCGGGTGACGCTTAGAAAACCCGTTTGAAGAATTGTCCACGCTACGTCAAACCGGAAACATGGAGGAGTTTGTGGAAGCTTTTGAGCTTCTATCGTCACAAGTGGGTCGATTACCAGAGGCTTTGAATTTGAATCAGCTTAAGAGTCATTTGTTGCGTGCTCAACAACAAATGAAGAAGTATGCAGATACAAAGAGAAGAGATGTACAATTTGATGTCGGTGAATGGGTGTTTTTGAAGCTTATACCTCACAGACATCAGTCAGTGATCAAGAGGATTAATCAAAAGCTAGCTGCTCGTTATTATGGTCCTTTCAAAATTGTGGACAAGGTGGAAGCTGTAGCATACAAGTCGCAATTACCTGACACTTCTAGAATTCATCCAGTTTTTCATGTTTCATTGCTAAAAAAGGCTATAGGTGAATATCAGGCTCAAGGGGCACTACCTACAGAATTAGAGGTCGCACTTGATGATGACTTTTATCCAGAAAAGGTGTTAGGCTCTAGAATTAATGTGCTGAGAGGTGTTTCTATTCCTCAAAGTTTAATTCAGTGGAAGAACAAACATGTTGATGTGTCACATGGGAAGACAATGCTTATCTTAAGGGGCGGTTTCCAAATTTTAGCCTTGAGGACGAGGCTGTTGTGAAGGACCGAGGTGTTGATAGAGACTTAGATGAAGAAGTTGGGCTTGACTTTGGGCATAAGCCAAAAGTGTGGAGGGTTTATACTAGAAGACGTGATAAAGGAATAAAGGAATAGATTGTAGGAGTTTGTTACGATAAAATAGGGAAGAGAGAGAGAGAGAGAGAGAGAGAGAGAGAGAGAGAGAGAGAGAGAGAGAGAGAGAGAGAGAGAGAGAGAATCATGATAGGAGTTGTTACTACAATTAATCCTATAATTAATGAGTTTGTTACTATAAAATAGGGAAGGAAGAGAGAGAATAATTAGCTAAGTTTATGACTATAAAATAGAGAGGAAATAAGGTATCTAGGTATTCTATTTTTTGATTTGAGAATCACCGTCTTGATGAGGGAAGCACTGCATGCTTAGGGGCTGATAAATATTCTCTATCAGTTTGTTATTTTCATCACCGTTACTTCTTTGTAATTATTCGTCTGTAATAATACAATTACAACATTCTTTTACTATTCTATTCATATATTCATTGTTCACTCATATATTCATATAAGAACCCATCAGTTTTCAACCTTATGAGATACATGGAGTAGAGCCTTCTGAAAGTAATATGTTCAATGGTGATAAACCAGGTAAATATCATTGTTCATTTCTTAGTCATTCTTGGCATATGTGAAGTGATTTATACAAAATATATATGTGAAAGGCGCTTAAAATAAGGGTGGAAAGTAAAGAATATAGTCATTGCAAATTCTGATGTTGTCCATATATGCAGGCCCTCAACATATAACTGATAATGGTGTTGGATTCAAACCAGACATATTAAACATGGATGTAATGGACAGAGTTCTTGAATTAAGTACATATTATTACTTTCTTCGACATAGAGATTTAGTTTGAAAGCTTTGTGTCTTTTTTCTAACTGTCGCAGACTTATGTTGTTGTAATTATGTATTAAATCTAATGATATGAAGTAGCTAAATAGTTTTTTCTCTGATTCTGTCTTCAAGGTGTCAAATGTTTAATCTCATAAATCTGGAAGATGGTACATGGAGCTTAAAGAGAAAACTGTAGAACTATCGTCTCTTGGCTTCACTGTGATTTGGTTACTACCTCCTATCGAAGGATACATGCCAAGGGACCTTCAGTTTACAACGGATCAGATACATACCACAACAAGAATTCAGTATTGTGTGTTGAATCAAAACTTAAATATACAGCCATTGGAAACATCGATTGAATATGAATTCAAGGCATTTGGACCTTGTGAATTCATCACTCACATCTTCATTTTTTGAAGTATGAAATCTTATATTGTCACTCTATAAACTACTGTGTTTATAATGACTTTCAAGTTTTCCTTTTCTACTACTTTGAAAACATTTGCATACTTTGTTTCTGTACTATAGGAATAACCCCATAAGTCTAGTAATAAGTAGCTAAGTGTGGTGGTAGTGTGACAATATAAAAGAACATAAGTGGAATTAAATTGTTACTGCAACATAGTTTTTAAATGCGGTTGCAAATATAATTAATTGACTATTCCTTTATTCATATGATATTATTCATTTTGGTGTATTGAATATTTGGTGGCATTGATGCAACATTTTCCATCAAATAAGAAAAATCTGTAATACCAAATAAATATTTTGGAAAACCGTTTTCTTTGAAATATAAGCGTGGGTTTTCTCGTGATAGTTATATAGAATATGTTGCTGGTAGTGGGTGTCGAACATTAGTTTTTGCTAAACGATGAACATTTGGTGGCACTGATGCAATATTTTTCATCAAATAAGAAAAATCTGTAATATCAAATAAATATTTTGGAAATCTGTTTTTTTTTATATATAAGTGTGGGTTTTCTCGTGATAGTTATGTAGAATATACCGTTGGTAGTGGATATCGAAATTGATATATAGTATAGGAGTAGACACCTTTGTAAAAGACACACAACTTGTTCACCTAAAATATTAATATGATAGGTGAGTGAGTTCTCTCACTTATATATACTTAAATCTTCACATTCTTATTTAATGTGTAATTATTTCTCCACTTACACACACTTATATTATTATTCTAATCGTTTTTAGCATGTTCGGAACATTGTTGCATATTTTGATCAGTTTCTTTTAGTTGTTAAAGCATTGTTTAAATACTTACGGCTTTGATTGAATTCCCTATTTTGGTCAGTTCTTTGAAATACATGATAAAGTATCTTATATAAAGTTGTTATGAATTACTAAATCTAAAATCCGTTGAAAGCTACACAAGGTGTTGGTTTTGATCATAGCTGTATAATGTCAAAGGTATCAGAACGTGACTATATTGTTAACAATGGGAAATACAATACGTATTCTAAGGGAAACCAAATAAAAAGGCCAAAGTTTTTAAGTTTTTTTATTAGCCAACTAATCTGAAGGTAATAATCTGCTACTACTTGTGTTTCATATGCAAATCCGAGCTAGACACACTGCTACCTACGTTTTGTATATGACAAATAAATCCAGTGTATTACAAAGTGGATAAAGTTATTGAATATTAAATCAAATTAGTGCGTTAGTGGGTTATCAAAAGGAAAGCCTAACAACATCTTTCCATTTAGACCTTAGAGAGAAATGAAAAGGCATCTACAAAATATATGGTATGAGTCGTATTATTTTATATAGTTTGTATTATATGGTCATTATTACTACGTAATTTGTTGATAATATTTTTAATTTGATATTGTTTTTATTTTAAAATATAATATTTTTAAAGAAAATAATTAATAGGATATCCATGCGTTTGTAGTAGTATCATTATGATACGCACATTTGTTTTTAAAATATAATAAAAAATGATTTAAAAAAAAATAGATAATAAAGAAGAGAGAAGAAAGAAGAAGAAGAAGAAGAAGAAGAAGAAGAGCGAGGCAGCAGAAAAGAGAAGAAAGAAGAGGAAGAGAGGCGGTGAAAGAGAGAAGAAAGGAAGAGGTAGAGGAAGAAAAGGTTATGCGAAACCTTCATCCTCTTCATGTTGGTAATTTTTCAGTAAAGAAAGAATATGAATCAGTAAGAGAGAAGAAATAAGAAGATGAAGAGAGGCAGAAGATAAAAGAAGGAAGAAGAAGAGAAAGGCAACACTTGCATAGCAATGAAGGAGAAACAATTATTGAATTTGAAAAAGGAGTTGGAAGGTGAAACATCAGAAACTGCTTCCAGGAAGAAAAAAAATATCGTGGAATAAAGGGAATAAAGAAAATAGAATTTTTTTTAAATAAACAAATAGAATGGAGGATGATTAGAGTAGCCACGGGTCGAGTTTTGAAAAGAAAAGAGTTAGTTTTCTTATATGATAGATAATAATAATTTGCTATTTTTAATAAATCATATATTTTTAATTAAAATAAATTAACAAATATAAGTAAAAGTGTGTATCATTAAACAAAATAATATTTATTTACGAGTAAAGGGTTAAAAATGTGTATCATTAAAAAAAATAATATTTATTTACGAGTAAATGATTAAAATATTTGTATATAGGGTTAAATAAGTTTTTGGCCCCTCTAAATATTTCAAACTTCAATTTTAGTCTCTCAAATATTTCCTTCAAGAATTAGTCCCTTCAAAATTTTCCGTCTGAATCATTGGTTCTCAACGTCAAATTTCACTAACGGCTTCCTATGTGGCCAGACAGGTGGATTAAATAATTTGTTTTATATATTTCCATGAAATATAACGTGTACATTGATCCTTATTAAATATGAGTCACATGATATTTAACCTAATTCCTTTCCTCTTCGTTCACCTTCTTTTTCGTGAAAATCTGCAGCAACAGAGTTGGTTCAGTGATTCATCTTCTTTCTTCTTTCATCTCAGTCCTCCTTCAGCTCCATAACACAATGTCTTATGCTTTAGTGAAATTGCGAGTTGGGAAGTTTTGTGGATGTCAAGTTCGGATGGTATCGTATTATTGCAAGAATGGACCAAATAAGAGTAGGTTGTTTTGGAGATGTCCTTATTGGCAAAGTTCTTATACGTGTAATCTATTCATATGGGATGAAGATCTTGGCATAAAATCTGGAAATAAAGATGTTACCATTAGGAACTCAGAGTTGGAAGCCATGACATCTGTGAGATATATGAAGTCCTTGTATGAAGATTTAAGGAAGAAGAACAAGAACTTAAAGACCAAATTGAAAACTGAGAAATTTCATGAAAGATTAAAGATGTTGTGTCTTGTTGTGTCATTTATGATAAATGTGTATTTTGTTATCAATTGTAGTTGCTGGATTGTTTAATATAATGAGAATGTATTGTGATTGTAGGTATTGCTTCAATGTACTTGATAAATGTACTTGATTGTAGTTGCTGAATTGTTATCAATTGTAGTTGCTTAATTGTTATAAATATTGTTTGTTATGATTAAGTATACATAATATGCAATATTTGGTATAAAAAGCTTGTAATTTGACTATTAAGTGCATAACAAAGCACATACTAAGACATGAGTACAAAATACATATTGAGACATAAGTGCATAACAAAGCACATTACAAAACACATATTGAGACATGAGTACAAAATACATAAAAGGTTCAAAGTGCATAACAAAGCACATTACAAAATGCATAGCAAAACACTTGGTTCATAATACAACATACATTTGTTTCACAGTACATAACAAAACACTAGGTTCATAAGACATAAGGTTCAACCAAAACACATTTGTGACACTCTTGAGTTTTCACTGAGTCATGCTCTTCTGGATGTCATCCCATTTCTTCTTTCCCCTAGCACTGCCAATAGTTAAGTCTTATTCAGGTATTACAAATGGATCATTTGGATCCCTTCCTAGTCCCTCTATATTCTTTGTCTTCAAAGTTCTAAGTCTGTCACTCTTTCTACTTGGAGATGCAACAATTTTTGACTTTTTCCTTGGTGATATCATTATTTTTACTTGTTATGACAACATAAAGTTATCAAGGTAAAAAAACATAACATGCCAAACAAGTCTATCAGAACAAGTTACAAACTTACAAGATCACTCATAGTTGAGTCGACATCAAGTTTAACAGGTTTTGATACCTTAGGACATTTACCAATAAAGGTTTTGGGACCATACCTATTATTCTTTACAGGACT